TCACCTTTTGTGAAACGATACGAGTATAATTCAATATATCTGAAATGATATTGATCTCAACTGATCAATTTGTTGAAGTTCATAACTTATACTTGATATTAAACGAACGTGAAAAGTCTTGCTAGATTTAAGGATTTATCTCTATGGTATAAGGAGCGATATTGAAGCCTTACTTGTTCAGCTCTTGAATGTAATACACGAAAGCAGGACGAATATCACGCAGAACGATTGAAGCGGCTAGACCGGTTTTGATCCTTGAGAATTGTTCATCTGCCTCTCGATCCAAGTCCTTGAAGTACGGCAAATGTGTTTGTTGCCAAAATGTTTTCTGATACATGCGGTGTCGCTGTTGGACGGCGGCTAGACCTGATACCTGAAACACCAGAAGACATCAGCTCAGCATCAACAGAATATGATGATGTGCTTTCATTTCACTGGTCACTTCAATCTTTAATCCATTCTGATCCCTCAATTTCATCTCACATTCTATTTCATTTGCATGATCTCCGTCCAAACCAAACTGAAAATGTCCCGAGTGAACTGAAATAATTTTGTACGACTTCATTTCTATTCTTCGATTGCCTCACTTATGTTTGAACTCAATCGCTTTGCACAATATATTTTCATTACGCCTCACGATTCATATTCCCATACGATCAAATGAGTACTAATTAGCCAGCGAGCGATTCATTCGTGAAGTTTCTCTCGCTCTGATATCAGCAACACTCAACCAATCATCAACAACCGTATAGTCCGATATAAGAGGTGGGTACTGTATCTGCTGCATTAGCAACATTATAACACAGCACAGAGACATTCCATGAACTCTGTCCATGAATCCGAAATCCTTCATTATGCCCGCAAGAAAAGACACATATCGCGTACCATAGCGAGTCACTTTGAAGACTTCAATCAGTCCAATAAACAATTTTTTTCTTCTTCTTCTTCAAAATCCCTCGAAGAGCCCAAAACAAGGGCCAGATCGTCCGGTTGCTGCTCCCAATAGACGATCCCACTTCAGCACCACAAACAAGGCGCTGAAGACAGCTGCTACGAACAATGATATCTTCATCGAGAAACGCTCAATTTATAGACGCAATTCTCGGAAGAATTTGTATAAAATTGGCACAAAATTTGCAAATATTTGCAAATTTTGATTAATCTTACATGCAAATTCCACTATTCGATTACACTTACCTATGCAAATTTGCAATACATCCATGTAATTTCAGAGGTCTGCATTGAAATTTCAGAGCCCTAAAAATTTTCATATGATTCAATGTAACCACAGACAGCTCACTCTAGTTGTAATTGACCAATAAAAATTACCATGTTTTGACTAAAATTAACCTATCGAAAACAAAACTTTGCTACATAATTTGCAATTCTTTCAGAATGCCTAATTATTGAACGTTATTAAGCTGGCTTTATAAATGTGGATGTTTCGTATCCAAGTGGTGTGTTTCTAATTGTTAGAGTTCTGAATGCAATGTGTGTGTGTGGGTGTGCGTAAAACCGATTGACCAGTCTTTATTTACGAAACTTTATTTATGCGACATCAATAAGGAAGCGAATGGATCATGCAGATGAATGACACTACAATAATGAAAACTTGACTTGAAAATTATTGCTCTGTATGTTACATAAGAATAAGTAATACTTTAGAATAGCACGGTGCTTCAAGAATAGCAAAATCAACGTTTTCAAATCCCAAAGTGTCGACAGGCTTAATGTTTAAAAATGACGTAAGCATCGATTGAGAAGCGACAAAAAACATTTTAAGATGTACACAATTCATAAACACAGTACAAAGCCGTCAAATTCATGACGATAGCATGATGGCCACAAAACTGGAATGTTCTTTGACAATAACACATACAATATGCAAAATTCTGCTCATTCGAAACTTTTTCTGAAAATTGCAATCAGAAGTGCAAACAACGATTGCGACTGCACAAAACTGTAATGCTCATCCTTTAGAAGTGAGTGGATTACAATGATTAATCTCAACTGAGAATCGATCTGTTGACAAGATATCTTTACTCACACATATCGTTTATCATATTCACAAAATATAATTTCCCATAACTTCACTCGACACAAATAAGAATATGACTGATTAAAATTTAAAAAAAAACGAGTCTATTTGAGATCTTCATCCTCGTCTTCTTCTCCCTCCTGGTCAACGAATTCAGCCCCTCCTCCAACGTGTTGACTAGATTCAAGTTCGTCTTCGACTTTCAGCTTTTTCATTAATCGTAAATACTGAAATTTATCATAATACAATTCAAAAATGATTTTAATGAAACATTGTTAATTGATTCGCTAACTTTAGCTGAGCCAAACCCAAAAGTCGTCCAAAATCATCGCGAATCATTAGATTCATCGATCACTTACGGAACTAAACTTATGAAACCAAATAGCTCACCTCATTATCCATTGTTCGCAGAATTGGTCGTTGCAGCACTTCTTGAAAGGCCTTATTATCACCAGATTCGAATGTTGATATCAGTGCATTACATGTACGTGCCTCTTCGGAATGCTCGAATCCTTCACATCTGAATAAATAGCAAAAAACGTTAGCAAATAATGACGATAGCTATGACAATACTAACAGTACCTATGTTCATTATAGATGCACCTTTATGATTGTTTAAGAAATTAAAATTCTTGACATTGTATTTCACGTGAATCATTGAGCTCATAACTTCGTTATGCAAACAGGGAAACTTGATGTACAAGGGGAAATCAAGGTGATACTCAGTGATGTGGACGTCAAGATAAAATTCGCTTGCAAAGAGCTGTATTAAATGTTGCAGAATGAACAAATCGCTAAGTGAGTAAAATCAAACCACTGGAAAACGACTTGGAAATTTTAACTTGAAATCAAAAATACTTGAAAATGCATTAGATGTAAAGTTTCTTAAGGTATTACCTGAAAGAATTCTGGAAGCTTTTCATCGCCGCAACAGAATCTCCTCTCGCTAGCTGCACGAGAACAAGCGCAGTGGTTAGCTGACAAACGCGACCTGGTTCCTGAATTCACTCCTATCAGATTTCAATGAGCCACAATACCTCCCACTAAGCTTTCAATGAAGAAACCGAAACTTTGGAAGAATCGCAATTCATTTAGGCAAATTTTTTAATTACACTGCTCATAAAGTCACTCCTCATTTGAAGATGGCTACTCGCATTCTCGACAGGCAAAAACATTCCACTCAAAATCGATTACTATCATCATAGTTTAATAATCAACAAAAAAATACGATCATTATTTTCGACTATCACTGTTCTTTTAAGCGCTATTAAGAAGAAGTCACGAAATCGCTCGGCTAACCTTCAAATCCATATATTTGTC